GTTTGTAAAGAACTTAACTATTAACTAATTGTACAACTATTGTATAAGTGTTTTTGTATAATATTTTTAAACAATATATAAAATTTACCAAAAAAAGTCAAATTTGATCTTAAAAGTTATTTGTTCAACAAATGTTCAAATTCTTCATTTATAAACTCTGTAGCTGTTAACGCCGTGTTTTTGTATAATATTTTTATACAATATATACAATTTACCATAAAAGTCAAATTTGATCTTAAAAGTTATATTCAACAAATGTTCAAATTCTTCATTTATAAACTCTGTAGCTGTTAATGCCATACTTTTCTGCATTTCTTCTTACATGCATGCTACTTTTGACTGTTTTCTCTTGTTTTAAATAAATATTTACCTTTTGATAGTCATTCTGTGTGTGTAAAAGTGATTTTAAAATGAACAAGATTTGTAGGTTTAATGTCTAGCTCGATTTGGGTTCATTTTATCCTAGCAGTGTAGTAATTTTAAACCATAATAACCCTGTTGGATTAAAACAACCCAGCGCTGGGTTCGTCCCTTTTTGACCCAGCGCTGGGTTGCCAAAATAACCCAAATTGGGTTGTTTTTAACCCAGCCGTTTTTAGAGTGTACACATGACAAATTAAAACATTATCGTGAAATGTGTGTGGAAACAATGTGAATGTACGGAAATGTCTGTGCCTGTGCATAAATACAATGTGTGATCAGTGCGTCAAGAGCACTTATACACGCATTATTATAACGGACTCACACATGCTTACTGTACGACTCCTGTATGCCATCATAATCGTCTTTATCTTGATTGCAGTCTTCATCAATCAAAACTTTACTAGCAAGACTGGTTATCCAGTCGAGAAACGTCTCGGTTACGTATGTAACCCTCGTTCCCTGAAGGAGGGAACAGAGACGTCACGTCGGAGGACCGACGAAATTGGGATCTCGCTTAGAGGGCCCAATCTACTTCGAGTGTAAACTAAACGAGCCGATGCAAATTGGCATGCGATTATTGTATCCAGCTGCTGCTGATCACAGCGTGAGTATAAGTAGGCAGCAGGTGCAGCGCATATTCAGGTTTTCGCTGAGGAGCCGAGCCGGTGACCCGGCCGCTCAGCGGTGGTACAGGAGCTGTGGCGACGGGACGTAACGTCTCCGTTCCCTCCTTCAGGGAACGAGGGTTACATACGTAACCGAGACATTCCCTTTCAGTCGGTCACTCTCGACGTCACGTCGGAGGACCGACGAAATTGGGATCTCGCTTAGAGGGCCCAATCTACTTCGAGTGTAAACTAAACGAGCCGATGCAAATTGGCATGCGATTATTGTATCCAGCTGCTGCTGATCACAGCGTGAGTATAAGTAGGCAGCAGGTGCAGCGCATATTCAGGTTTTCGCTGAGGAGCCGAGCCGGTGACCCGGCCGCTCAGCGGTGGTACAGGAGCTGTGGCGACGGGACGTAACGTCTCCGTTCCCTCCTTCAGGGAACGAGGGTTACATACGTAACCGAGACATTCCCTTTCAGTCGGTCACTCTCGACGTCACGTCGGAGGACCGACGAAATTGGGATCTCGCTTAGAGGGCCCAATCTACTTCGAGTGTAAACTAAACGAGCCGATGCAAATTGGCATGCGATTATTGTATCCAGCTGCTGCTGATCACAGCGTGAGTATAAGTAGGCAGCAGGTGCAGCGCATATTCAGGTTTTCGCTGAGGAGCCGAGCCGGTGACCCGGCCGCTCAGCGGTGGTACAGGAGCTGTGGCGACGGGACGTAACGTCTCCGTTCCCTCCTTCAGGGAACGAGGGTTACATACGTAACCGAGACATTCCCTTTCAGTCGGTCACTCTCGACGTCACGTCGGAGGACCGACGAAATTGGGATCTCGCTTAGAGGGCCCAATCTACTTCGAGTGTAAACTAAACGAGCCGATGCAAATTGGCATGCGATTATTGTATCCAGCTGCTGCTGATCACAGCGTGAGTATAAGTAGGCAGCAGGTGCAGCGCATATTCAGGTTTTCGCTGAGGAGCCGAGCCGGTGACCCGGCCGCTCAGCGGTGGTACAGGAGCTGTGGCGACGGGACGTAACGTCTCCGTTCCCTCCTTCAGGGAACGAGGGTTACATACGTAACCGAGACATTCCCTTTCAGTCGGTCACTCTCGACGTCACGTCGGAGGACCGACGAAATTGGGATCTCGCTTAGAGGGCCCAATCTACTTCGAGTGTAAACTAAACGAGCCGATGCAAATTGGCATGCGATTATTGTATCCAGCTGCTGCTGATCACAGCGTGAGTATAAGTAGGCAGCAGGTGCAGCGCATATTCAGGTTTTCGCTGAGGAGCCGAGCCGGTGACCCGGCCGCTCAGCGGTGGTACAGGAGCTGTGGCGACGGGACGTAACGTCTCCGTTCCCTCCTTCAGGGAACGAGGGTTACATACGTAACCGAGACATTCCCTTTCAGTCGGTCACTCTCGACGTCACGTCGGAGGACCGACGAAATTGGGATCTCGCTTAGAGGGCCCAATCTACTTCGAGTGTAAACTAAACGAGCCGATGCAAATTGGCATGCGATTATTGTATCCAGCTGCTGCTGATCACAGCGTGAGTATAAGTAGGCAGCAGGTGCAGCGCATATTCAGGTTTTCGCTGAGGAGCCGAGCCGGTGACCCGGCCGCTCAGCGGTGGTACAGGAGCTGTGGCGACGGGACGTAACGTCTCCGTTCCCTCCTTCAGGGAACGAGGGTTACATACGTAACCGAGACATTCCCTTTCAGTCGGTCACTCTCGACGTCACGTCGGAGGACCGACGAAATTGGGATCTCGCTTAGAGGGCCCAATCTACTTCGAGTGTAAACTAAACGAGCCGATGCAAATTGGCATGCGATTATTGTATCCAGCTGCTGCTGATCACAGCGTGAGTATAAGTAGGCAGCAGGTGCAGCGCATATTCAGGTTTTCGCTGAGGAGCCGAGCCGGTGACCCGGCCGCTCAGCGGTGGTACAGGAGCTGTGGCGACGGGACGTAACGTCTCCGTTCCCTCCTTCAGGGAACGAGGGTTACATACGTAACCGAGACATTCCCTTTCAGTCGGTCACTCTCGACGTCACGTCGGAGGACCGACGAAATTGGGATCTCGCTTAGAGGGCCCAATCTACTTCGAGTGTAAACTAAACGAGCCGATGCAAATTGGCATGCGATTATTGTATCCAGCTGCTGCTGATCACAGCGTGAGTATAAGTAGGCAGCAGGTGCAGCGCATATTCAGGTTTTCGCTGAGGAGCCGAGCCGGTGACCCGGCCGCTCAGCGGTGGTACAGGAGCTGTGGCGACGGGACGTAACGTCTCCGTTCCCTCCTTCAGGGAACGAGGGTTACATACGTAACCGAGACATTCCCTTTCAGTCGGTCACTCTCGACGTCACGTCGGAGGACCGACGAAATTGGGATCTCGCTTAGAGGGCCCAATCTACTTCGAGTGTAAACTAAACGAGCCGATGCAAATTGGCATGCGATTATTGTATCCAGCTGCTGCTGATCACAGCGTGAGTATAAGTAGGCAGCAGGTGCAGCGCATATTCAGGTTTTCGCTGAGGAGCCGAGCCGGTGACCCGGCCGCTCAGCGGTGGTACAGGAGCTGTGGCGACGGGACGTAACGTCTCCGTTCCCTCCTTCAGGGAACGAGGGTTACATACGTAACCGAGACATTCCCTTTCAGTCGGTCACTCTCGACGTCACGTCGGAGGACCGACGAAATTGGGATCTCGCTTAGAGGGCCCAATCTACTTCGAGTGTAAACTAAACGAGCCGATGCAAATTGGCATGCGATTATTGTATCCAGCTGCTGCTGATCACAGCGTGAGTATAAGTAGGCAGCAGGTGCAGCGCATATTCAGGTTTTCGCTGAGGAGCCGAGCCGGTGACCCGGCCGCTCAGCGGTGGTACAGGAGCTGTGGCGACGGGACGTAACGTCTCCGTTCCCTCCTTCAGGGAACGAGGGTTACATACGTAACCGAGACATTCCCTTTCAGTCGGTCACTCTCGACGTCACGTCGGAGGACCGACGAAATTGGGATCTCGCTTAGAGGGCCCAATCTACTTCGAGTGTAAACTAAACGAGCCGATGCAAATTGGCATGCGATTATTGTATCCAGCTGCTGCTGATCACAGCGTGAGTATAAGTAGGCAGCAGGTGCAGCGCATATTCAGGTTTTCGCTGAGGAGCCGAGCCGGTGACCCGGCCGCTCAGCGGTGGTACAGGAGCTGTGGCGACGG